CGGCCCAAAGAGTAGGGAACATATATTGTTGGCAGACCTTTACCTTTTTTTTTGAACGCAAAGCAGATCTGTAACTCTTTTTTTTTAACGCAAAGCAGACCTGGCACGGTCTTCATCGGTCTTCAAAGGCTCCCTCAAGTTTTTTTTTTTAAAGGCTCCCTGTTGAGTGTTGTCCACCCCAGTGCTGGCAGTATAGACGGATGCAAAAAGTACGGTCTTTGTGCGGCAGTGCGTGGGGACACGGCATTGACGGACCTGCGGCGACGACGACGACCGTGACTTGACCGCAGACTGAAGAGGATAGCTAGCTTATATAATCACCATCGATCAGATGGCCACACCAGCGCATCCACGTCTCATTCCGATTTCACCCCAACCGAAACACAGTAACAAACCAACAATCATCAACTGAACTGAAGGCCATGCATATGCATCCCTCTGCCGTCTTGCACTTGCTTCTCCTTCTCGCCGCCGCGGCCGCCTCGCAGTCGCAGGCACTGCAGCTGTCGCCAGCTGCTCCCGGTCGCAATGGCACTGGCGCCTGCATACCCCGCGAGAGGGACGCCCTGCTGGCCTTCAAGCGAGGCATCACCGGCGACCCAGCGGGGCGCCTTGCCTCGTGGCACGAAGGTGACGAAGACTGCTGCCGGTGGAGCGGCGTCCGGTGCAGCAACCGGACCGGCCATGTCATCGGCCTCCGTCTTGGCAGTGACATGTACACTGGTGATCCACCGCTTCATCCCAAGGACACGGCTTTGTCGGGCCAGATAAGTCCCTCCTTGCTCTCCTTGCATCATCTCGAGAGCCTTGATCTCAGCTTGAACAACCTTTCGGGGCCGGCTGGCGGCGGTGTGCCGGAGTTCTTAGGCCTTCTGAAGAACCTGAGGTATCTCGACCTCTATGGCATGCCGCTGTCAGGGAGCGTGCCACCTCAGCTCGGCAACCTCTCCAAGCTGCACTACCTTGACCTCTCTGGTAGTGATGAATTCATGTTTTCCCCAGACCTATACTCCACTGATATCTCATGGTTATCAAGCCTGCCTCTACGGTACCTTGACATGGGCTCTGTAAACCTCAGCGGGAAAGTTGGTTGGGCTCATGTGGTGAACATGGTTCCTTCTATGAAGGTCCTCCGTCTTGATGGTTGCTCGCTTACGAGCGCAAACCAATCTCTCCCACATCTTAATCTTACCGGCCTTGCGGAGCTCACGCTCTCTAACAACTACCTTGACCACCCAGTTGCATCCTGTTGGTTTTGGAATTTGACAAGCCTAGGATATCTCGACCTTGCTGAAACCTTCTTATATGGTCCAGTTCCTGATGCACTGGGGGGTATGATGTCCCTCCAAGCCCTTGAGTTTAGCCGTTGTACTTCTGGAAGCATAGACATCATGACAGCAAACATGACAAATCTGTGCGAACTGGAAAGAATAGACTTCTCGGGAAGTGATTTTGATGGCAGCATAACAGATTTATTTGAGAGGTTACCGCAATGTTCGTCAAACAAACTCAAGGAACTGAATTTGAGATCCAATAATTTCAGTGGAGTGCTACCGAATCATTTAGGGCGGTGGGCCAGATTAGTCACTCTTGATCTCTCTAATAACCAAATCACTGGACAGCTGCCGTCTGAGATCGGCATGCTCAGTAATTTAGTCACTCTTGATCTATCTATATATTACTTAGCCAGTCTTGGACTCCATGGCAATCTTTTCACAGGACCACTGCCCTCTGAGATTGGCATGCTCCGTAATTTAGTCACTCTTGATCTCTCTTACAACGGATTCACTGGACCTTTGCCCTCTGAGATTGGCATGCTCCGTAATTTAGTCACTCTTGATCTCTCTTACAACGGATTCACTGGAACTTTGCCCTCTGGGATTGGTATGTTAAGTCATTTGACTGGCATGGACCTAAGCTACAATAACCTCAGTGGTGTTATCACCCATGAGCACCTTGATGGCTTGTCAAGATTAACGATGATAGACTTGTCAAGAAATTCCATGAAGATTGAGGTGGATCCAGAGTGGTTGCCAACATTCAATCTTCATCAAGCATCTTTTCGATCCTGCCACTTGGGTCCTTCATTTCCCTCCTGGCTGCAGTCACAGACCAATATTCATGTGTTAGATATATCAAGTGCATCTATATTTGATTCGCTTCCAAATTGGTTTTCTACCACCTTCTCAAAGGCTCGGGAGCTGTATATTTCAAACAATGGAATCAACGGCACATTGCCAACAAACATTGAGAACATGACATCATTAGTTACACTCTCTTTGGATTCAAACCAACTAACTGGCCAAATACCTCGGTTGCCACCAAATCTGTTTGCATTAGACATCTCCAGGAACTATTTGTCAGGGCCACTACCATCGAATTTTGGAGCCCCGAAGCTATCATACCTAAGCCTGTTCTCCAACCATATCAGTGGTCATATTCCACATTCTATTTGTGAATTGAACGTGTATAACCTGAACTTAGCTGATAATCATTTGGAAGGAGAATTCCCACAATGTTCTGAGCCAAGAATGACCCAAACACTAATACTAAGTAACAATATGCTATCCGGTAAGTTGGATACGATTTTAGAAACATACCCGGAACTGCAAATTCTTGATCTGGCATGGAATAAGTTCACCGGAAGCATTCCAGAAACGATTACAAATCTTGGAGATCTAATTAATCTAGATTTGGCAGGCAACAATTTATCAGGTGCCTTACCCCATCATTTGTCAAATTTCATGGGAATGAAAGGAACACGTAGTCATCAATCTCCAGTAGTACAAGGAATTAATTTGTCTGTGACCACAAAAGGACAAGAACGTTATTACTTCGAGTCTGTGCTTTATGAGATGGTGAACATTGACATGTCATCAAACCACTTGACCGGAGTAATTCCAGAAGAAATAACATCACTAGATGGAGTTGTAAATTTGAATTTATCAAGGAATAATCTGACTGGAAAATTTTCAGAAAGGATTGGGGTCATGAATTCACTGGAATCTCTCGACCTCTCTGAAAACAAGCTTTGTGGAGAAATCCCACAAAGTCTGTCAAATCTATCATATTTAAGCTTCATGGACTTATCACACAACAATCTCACAGGAAGAATCCCATCAGGGGGGCAGCTCGACACCCTCTACACGCAGAATCCACTTATGTATGATGGAAACATTGGTCTTTGTGGATATCCTCTTCAGAAGAATTGCACAACAAACAACCGAGAACCAAAGCATGGTGAACAAAAGGGAGATGAACATGATGATGAGGTACTTACATTTTCCTTTGGACTTGGCATAGGATATGTGGTTGGTCTCTGGATGGTGTTCTGTGTCATCTTATTCAACAAAACATGGAGGATTGCTTACTTCCGCCTTTTCGACAAAGTATTTGACAAAGTCTATGTGTCTGTCGTTGTTACATGGGCAAGATGGGCCAAATAGACAACTACACACTTACGGGCATTTGGTAAGATCAGGCAATTAAAGGCAACCACAGATTTAGCCTGCTGCAAATAAAGGTGGATGTATATGTAGCCGTCTATGTTTTGCTGTATATCGTTTCCTTCGAAGCCAGATGGCTCGAATGTTTTTCAATTCTTGTTATGTATGTGTACACTGTCGATCTCTACTCATCGTGAAGGCAGTCACGATTGCTACGTACTGCTCCAGAATGATGATAGAATTTTGATTTTTTTTTTCCAAATTGTTTAGTTAGGATTCATAAAAGCGTCGAGTGTGTACGTATGATATACGGTTCCAACTATTTCTCGCAAGAAGCATTGAACGTGTCATATGAAATTGTTGTACGAAATTTTTAAATATTTGCATCTACAAATACATAAAGTATAAAGTATAGGTGTGATAGTTACTGTATTCGACAATAGAGAAAAAATAAAAGTGTAAAACCTGCTTTAAAATGACAAGCATAGAATAGAGTCACCCATCGGTTAAAAGTGTATGAGAAATTTCAAAATTCAAATGAACTATGTAGAAAATTTTCATAGGAGAAATGTAGGATTTAGAAAAAGATCCCGTGTTGCAAAGGAGCGTGGAAATTGAAACTTCCTCGAGGAGAATTTCTTGCTTCGGCTTAGACATGCTTTGTGTGTGTGTTGACAAATACTCGTATTCTTGTACATGTGTGGCGGAGCTCTCGCAGTCACACGGTGTCACACGCATTGTACCAGCATCATTGAGTGTGCTAATGAGAAAAAGTTGAGCAAGAAGAAAAAAGGGACAAGTGTAGTAGTCATGACTCATCAGACACGGCTCGTGTGGTTCACGTTATCGTTAATTCGTTATGCATCACTGGAAGATGGTATAGCCATGTTTTTGCTTCGATTTCTATATATTTCGTCCAAAAGTGTGTATGCAGAGCATATATGAGTTGAACATATTTGTTTCCAAAATGGAAATTAGTATGTTCAGTGTAAAAAGACTTGAGGCAAGGATTTTTTTCCCCACTGGTGGCCTAAAGCTACCTGCAATAAACATTGGTTTCAAAAACTTCAATAAACAAACAAATTCTGCACCAAACAACTCTGAACTCTCTGTTTTTTCCCAGCATAGTTGATCTAAATTATCATTTGACAGCTTCAATCTATAGCCATTATCGATGGCAAACTTTCAATTTTTCCGCTCTCCCCCCTCTTCTTGAACAAGAACAAAGTGGAAGCAACGTGCAAGAAAACAAATCTAAACATGAAATCCAATTTATCTAGTATCTTCAAAAGGAAGATTTAAAGATGGAGACAAAGTCCATGCAGGCAAGAGCAGGAACAGGTGAGTCACACTGTTCTGTCCATCTGTCCATGATCAGACAGACAAAGACATCAGCAAATTAATTGCACCGAGATCCAATAAACCAAAGAGCACAAGGTCAAATCATTCCTCAAATCCATCTGCCTTGCGCTCGTGCTCCAGATCCATCGTCCAAGCCGGCCACAGATTTCCCTCCCCACCGCGCTGAGCTCCAAAGCCACTAAGAAGCCGGCCATGTCGTCGGACTCCGGCTCCGGCGGCTGGCGCATCACCATCAGGTCCATCTCCTGCCGCGGCGTGAGGGCGTTTGTCCCGTTCCAGAAGCCGCCGCTCTACGCCGCGGTGTCCCTCGGCGGCCGCCGGGAGAAGACGCAGCCGGACGCCGACGGCGGCGAGAGCCCGGACTGGGACGACGCGGTGTTCGCGTTCGACCTCGACGGTGATGGCGCGCAGGCGCAGCAGCAGCTGGTGGTGGTGGAGTTCGAGGTCAAGGCGCAGGTGCCGATCCTCGGCAACAAGCTCTTCGGCACGGCTAGCGTGCCCGTGGCCGACCTGGCGGCGGCGTCCGGAGACGACGCGGGGCTGCACCACGTCAGCTACCAGGTGAGCGCCCCCGACGGCAAGCCGAACGGCACGCTCAGCTTCGCATACGCCATCAGCGGCGGCCCTGGCGCCGGCTTGCGCCCGCAGCCGCAGCTCTACCCGGCGCCGGGCGGTGCGCGGCCGGATCAAAACCCGAGCTTTCGCTGCGCGCCTCCGCCAAGCGAAGCGTATCCACCACCCGCGGCGGCTGCAAACTTCCCGCCACAGAGCGCCGGGTACCCGCCGCCGGCTTCCGCTTCTCTCTATCCGTCACTGCAAGAATTGTTGTCCCCACGCAGCTACCCGCCTCCGCCGCCGCCTTATCCACAGTTTCCAGCGCCAAGCAACAGCAGCTACCCGCCGCCGGCTGCTGCTACTACAGCATACCCACCTCCACCCGCGTCATGTGCAGCCTGTCCGGCGCCTCCGGCAGAGTTCACCAGGTACCCGCCGCCGCTGACGGCGGCTGCTACGGCATACCCACCACCACCGCCTGCGTCGTCGTGTGCAGCCTGCCCGGCGCCTCCGGCGGCACAATACAGCAGCTACCCGCCGCCACCGTCGACCAACTACCCACCGGCGCCGCCGAGCGGGTACCCGCCACCACCGGCGTCCAATTTGACCCCTCCGACCAGCACGTACCCGCCGCCGCCGGAGTCAGGCTCGGCCTACCCAGTTTATCCAAGATCAGCGCCTTCGCCGCTGCCGTCAGGCACAGTGGACCGTGCACTACCGTACTACCCGGCGCCTCCCGGCGCCTCGTACTACCCTCCGCCGGGGACACGGCACCCTGAGATCGACGGCGCGGCCTGGACGCCGTCTTACTACCCACCGCCGGGGAGTCGATACCCGTAGGAGGAGCTCGGCGGAATAATTCGCAGCGTTGTGGAACTGTGACAACTGGCAAGTGACGACGATGTTTCCAGTCCGCCGCTTCGCGCCATGAGCATACCATTGAAGCCAAGTCAGATTGCAGCGGTGGGTGCAAGGCTCTGCAAGCTACCACCAACAGTGTTTTTCCATTTCCAGTATTTTTCAACTTGGCTTGTTCGGGTCAATTAACCATTTAACCTCACAGTGTTTTTCAGTATTTCCAGGAGGATTTTTTTTTAACAAAGTGAATACTGATACTTTTTTTTTGCATTTGAGTCCTTTTGTTTGATGCGTAATTTGTTAACAGAATGGTTTTCGCGCCAATTATCACTTACAAAAAAGAGTAGATATTTTATAGAAATTGGAAAATTTCTAGTCTCCGCGACCGCACACGGCCAAGTCTTATAATGTTGTTAGCTTATTTGCTGACAGAGATAAAGAAAAAGGATATACTCAAATAGGAGAAAATCATAAACAAAGTCTATTAGTACTTTGCCATCCATTCTTGGCAAACACATCTAAAACGATAACCTCCAACGCTTTGCTTGAACATCGAAACATCTCTCTTTTATCTTCACGTTGCAGCAGCGCCTAGAACCGCAACCAATATGCTCCTCTGAAAATAGCCTGCATAAAAAAAATATTTTGTTTTTATTAAAAACTACGTCATTACAAGTACACCAAATTGCTCAAATAATAGCAGCAGCTCCCATAAAAATCTGTTTTTTATCCTTCCTCCCAATGCCCGTGAGCCAAAAAAAGAGTTAGATAAGAGAGGCTAATGCTCAGGCGACAGGTTCCAAAGAAATGGCTAAAGTCAATTTGATAGTACGTAACCAAATCAAAGAGCCGTCCGACCTTCTTTCTCTCATGTTCGTTGTATATTAGGTATGGTCATGGTCATGTAGACATGAACGCCGTGTTTGGTTGCGTTTACAAACGTATATCATATATCCTATATGAGTGGAAGCAGGCTATGTATTGGTTACAAAAGAATACTGTTTGGTTGACATCATGGGTATACGATCACACAAGAATCACTTCTTAATTTACACCATGAACTAAGAGCTAAATAAGCTCACTCCTCACTACACCATATTCAACTCCACCAGAATCACCTCCCATCTACGTCTAGTTTGTGAGGAGAGCTTTATTGTTTGTGCGCCATGTGGGGGCTTGCAGGGGTGTTATTGTTGTGTGTAATATTAGGAAAAATATCATGTACCCTAAAACAGGTATTCATAATCTATGACTTTGTAACCAGCAGGATGATAAAGCAAGTGACAGTGTGAAATTCCTTGGACTACGATATATTTGCTTGTTTTCTATGGATTTCTGTACGAGAAAATCGTGGTTCATTTTAGGCATGGCGGCTAGGCTGTTGGGCCAGCAAGGGAGGGAAAGAGAGAGAAGAAAAAAGGTGTGGACCAGGCTTGATATGGAGGTTCGGGGCAGATTCTCCTCCCTAACCTTTTTTTTTATTTTCCTCTACTTTTGTATGCATACACTTCTTGAACTACTATTTAACTGATGACTAAATTCTTAACGTTACAGGAGGCCGGATTTGTTGTAGTAAAGTGTACACTTATTGAACTACTCATTTTGTCCTTGAACTAGGAAGTGGTTGTTTCTGTCCATAAAGTTTTATTTTTTGGCTCCATTTCGTCCATGCACTATCAATATGGTCATTTTAGATTGTTTTATCTAAAACTATCAGAATGGTCATTTCAGTCCTAAATCTTTTCTTTTGACTTCATTATCACTCCTCATCCTATATGGCACACCACGATGTCCTCCAAATTGTAACATATACTACCCACGTCGTAAAAACGATGCATTTCTTGTTTCTCCTTGGTCCAACTATCTATGGTTTATTCAAATTTATTTATAGAAAAAAATTTGCCCAATATTTATGATACCAAATTAAATAGGAATTCTATCAAAATATATTCAATAGGAAGATTGTAGTGGTACTAATTTTTGGTATCATAAATGTTGATACATTTTTTATATAGACTTAGTCAAATTTAAAATGGTTTGACTCATACTATACTAAAACTGCCTTCTCTTCTAGATGGACTAATTAATATATTCAATACGAAGATTCAGGTGGTACTTATTTGGTATCGTAAATGCTTGTATTTTTTTATATAAACTTAGTCAAACTTAAAATGATTTGACTCAATACTATATTAAAATAGTCTTTCTTTCTGGATGGAGTAATTATTTGCTACTTTCTCATATCAAATTGTAAGTCGTTCTGCCTTTTTAAAATACATACATCGTTTTTACTAGGTACTGTACCTAGACGTAATGTATATATTTATATATGTAGCAAAAGCTATATAGGAGTATTAGAAAAGCTAAAATAATTTAAAATTTGGAGTGAGGGAATAGTACTATGCTAATGCAGTGGTATTTGATGATGGGAAAGAAACTAAGGCATATGTACAGATCTACGGCCTGTTCGTTTGGCTGGACCGGTTCGTTGTTGGTTCATGAAGAAGTACTGCTGGACTGATTTGTGTGAAAAAAAATATTGTTTTGGCTGGAAAATTTACGATCGTTTACGACCATTTTACCCCAGCCGAACAAGCTGCTAGTCTACGTCTATTTTACTTTCATCCATACTGTTGACTGCTATTATATTCTTTATCGAAAAAGAAACCTCTACTACTGTTTGACTGACTGACTGACTGACTACATAGTTGGATAATGCCCATTGCCCACTGCTAGTACTAGCAAATAAATAAATAAAAGAAAGAATGCGGAGGACAAGTGGTGGCTAGATACGCAGATAAGATGACCTTTGGATCCATGCCGGCTGCCATGCATCCTTTTTAGTTGCGAACGCTGCATGGGCCGGCGTGTTCCACCGGGCGGGGCCGGGCCGTAGAACGGCGAGTTGCGTGGCCTTACCTGGGCTCCCGAAGACAAGTGCCACCCGTCTGATAAGGGAAAGAAGGGAGGAGGAGGGGCGCGCACGGCCCAGTAATCAGTGAGGGAGAGGTGGACGGATTTTTTTTTTATTTCTAAACCTTTTTTATTCAATATTTTAATAATAATCGCTTATTAATTTTTTTTTGCGAATCTAACCCTTTTTGGTCGCGCCAGCGCTGGCGCGTGACCAAATAACGTTGTCACGCCACATGCAATGGCGCGGTAACATCCACCACGTTAGACGGTATTTCCGACGTGAAAAACGCTGTCACAACCCTCCTGCTGGCGTAACAATATTGTTCTGTCGTGCCACCGGGAGTGATGTGACAAGACCAAATCTTTGAAAAATCGTAAATCTTTGATACGACGTCGGATGAAGATAAAATTTATATAAAAATTATATCTCTCGATGAGATCTACAACTTTGTAGTTTTGAGTTTTTTCATTTGAGAACGTTAAGATACTAAAAAAAAATTTCATCACCATAATAATCGCGTACCAGCGCTTGTCGTATTTGAAAAATAATATCATTTCTGTATGTTGTCAAATGAAGATACAAATGAAGATACTTTTTACACGAAAGTTGTAGCTCTCAATGCAATCTACAATTTTATAGTTTTGAGTTTTAACATTTGGAGTCGTTAAGATGCTCAAAAGAATAATATAAAATTTAAGTAGTATAATAATCGCGTACTAACGCTTGTCGCATTAGAAAAATAATATCATTTTTGTATCGTGTTTTTATATCAAAATTGGAGCTCCCAATAAGATCTAGAACTTTTATTTAAAAAGTAGTTTTACGTGACATTAAATAAGAAATATATGATTTTTCTAAAAAGATAAGTTTTGAACTATAAACATGTATATCTTATTAATGGCTACAACTTTGATATAAAATGTATCTTCATTTGACATCATACAAAAAAGATATTATTTTTTAAATGCGGCAAGCGCGGGTATGTAATTATTATAGTGCTAAAATTTTATATTATTTTTTGGAGCATCTTAATGTCGTCAAACGAAAAAACTCAAAACTAGAAAGTTGTAGATCTCGTCGAGATCTATAATTTTCATATAAAAATCATTTTTATCCAACGTCGTATCGAAGAGTTATGATTTTTTAAAAATTTAGTCTTATCACGCCACTCTCGGTGGCGCGACAAGACTATACTGTCACGCCACCAGGAGTGGCGCGATAAGCTTTTCTACGTCAGAAACACCATTCAACATGGCAGATGTTGCCACGCCACATACATTGTCGCGACAGCGTTGTTTGAAAGGGTGAGATCTGAAAATGTTTTTTGTGGAGCGGTTATTATTCAAATAATTAAAAATGTTTAAAAAATAAAAATTCTCCGAGTGGATACGGGATACCTTGGGCAATGAATCGTAGACCGGTCAGCCATATATGTCCGAGTCTGACTGAGTTAAGGAGTATCTAGCCGCCGCGTGCGTGTGGAAAGGAGAGTACTTCTGGTATGTTCCTTGAACTTGTCAGTTGGTTTATCAGCTAAAATCTATAATATTTTTTCTCTCATAACAAATCAGCTTCAGCTGATTTATTAGCTGACTTTAATACTAGATGAACAGGTCTATACAGCAGAAGAAAAGGAGGAAGCAAGATTTGTTGAGACCGATCGACCAACGTATATGTCGTGATCGTTGATGAATAGTTAAATCTTTCGTATTCGTACAAGATAGAGAGCAGCACATGTCGAGACAGTAAAAAAAAACTCGAAGATTTCGATTCCTAGATATATATCGCTGAATCCATCAGATGAACGTCCAGATACGTAACGCTGCTAAGCCTCCAGCCTGTATCGCTGAGCGCTGGCTTGTGTGCAGCGGCAGCCACAGAATTGCCTGCAAATAGCACTGACGAGCACAGCCTTAAGCTAAAACAGATAAGATGCAGTGGTTGAGTGGCTGTTATTCAAGCCTATTGTTAGCCTCTACTACTAAGGCTATCTTCCGACAAAACCTATCAAAATATAAGATACATTCGTTATTTGAGTAGTACTATAGATAAAAAGTTCAATATATATTCAGCATTTATTTCAACAATAAGACATAAAAGAGAATCCTTTCTGCAAATTAGTTTTCATGAGAGAGGATGTCTATATTTGGGTTATGCCTCTTAGACAACCCAAAATAGGTTCTTTTATATAGATACTCTGTTGAAGACTAATTTTAGATATCTCAATATTTATTTTGAGTTTAAATGCCTATACGAGTTGTTGGTATACTATAGTAGCTAGCATACGCATGCAATTGGATTTGGATAATCATGACATAGTAGTAGGTCGGAGCGATCCATATGACTAGTGACTAGTAGGAGGAGGAGATGAACGAATAAACAAATGATGCGGAGGACGGTGAGCAGATTGCGGATCCTGGAAGCCCGGATCCGGTGCTTGCTTGCGTCTTTGACCCACAGGTCAAAGCTGCGTACGTGCTATCTACTCCCTCCCGTCACTATGTTCGTCCTCTTCGCTTCACGAGAAACTTTAACTAAATATATATTAAAAAATATTAATATTTATAATACATAATTAGTATCATTATAGATATTTAAATCAAGTTTTTTAATAAATTTATTTAGATATAAAAATGTTGTATGTATTTTTTATAAATCGAGTTAAAGTTATCGCCAGATGCAAATTATGGTGATTATTAGGGATGGAGGGAGTAGTATCTAAATCTAAATTCTAAAGTTGTAAACATCCGAATCCTACTAAATCATCAAACTCTAAAAGCAAAGCAAGCAAAGCATGCATGCATATGCATACATTCTTTCGGTTGCTGCTGACACGAATTCCTTGCTCCTTTTTATTTTCCTCCGTGGATGTATCAGGACGTGCGAATTCGCATGGAGATGTGTGTCAATGCGAATCCAGTGGTTCATGTGCTCCCTCGAGGGCACATTTAACTTTACCGTGGAGCATGTGCTTGCAAGTTTGGTTAGACTTGCAAAGAGCTTCTTTGACTATGCAAAAAGCCGCCACACCGACAGGTGGGCCCAGGCAGCAGCGGCCGTTTGTTAGTACGTAGGAGTGGTGTTTTGATTGTTTATTTTGGGCATCTGCGATCTGACAGTAGTGACAATTACAAAAGGCAGGGGCAAGCGTGGGTCCTATAAAGTATAAGGCACGATTAAGTTAGATGCGATCTCCAAAATCACAATTCAACCGTTTATTTCTTTTAGTATATGATAACTAGAGTATAATCAATAGCGAGTGTATTTCTAATGTAATTACTTCTGTAGCACAAGCTTTATATGATTAGACTAATTGTAGTTGGTCAAAGATTACAGAGTTTAAATTCTAAATGATCTGCTTGATTAGCAGTTATGAGAGGATCTGTCGATCATTAGCGTGTTCGTTTGGTACGCGTAATTGTCAGAACGATCGTAAATTTTCAAATTGAATGCAGTTTTTTCTCTCACACGAACCAAATAAAGAAGATTTCTTCACGAACCAAAAATTAAACGAACCAAACCAACCGAACAATCGCTGCATAGCGGTATAATTTCGGATGAGTGTAAGGCAAGCAAAGGCGACGAGAAGGCCTGATGAATCGGCTGTCGCAGCACGGGTGGGCGGGACGGTAGAGCGGGAGCTGGTGGTGGTGGCGATGGTTGCCGCCTTGCCGGCCTTTTGACCCGGGGGGTGTTCCTCTGTGTTCGTGCGCTGACGCTGCTGATGGAGCCGTGGCTGGAAGTGGAATGGTGGATGGGATCTCGTATGGCCCGCGCTTGCGCTTGCGCGTCCAATGGAGGAGGAGACGGAGACGGAGACGGAGACGAGTGAGCTGGAAGTATCACGCCCGTTCCCGATCTGTTCCGCCTCGGAGAACGTGCTCCCCGCCTCCCCCTTCCGGCGCTCCCTCGCTTTGATTGATTAATAATTAATCCGGTCATCACCTGCGTTGGGCTGTGCCAGTCATTTGACCGTGCTCACTCAGGCCAGATGGTCCAAAACCACACACACGGCCTTCAAATTTCGCTCCCCGCTACAGTAAAAATACTCCAGCTGGTCCAAGCATGAAAGCCGTCCGTCCGGAATCGGAAAGAGATGCCCGATGACGATGACGATGACGATGACGATGGGAGCAAGCAGAAGCAGCCGCAGCGGATCATGCAACGCATATTCGGGTCTTCCGGAATCTTTTCTTCATTGCATTGCAGTTGCAGCCCGAGGAGCGGCAGGACAGGAAAGACGATGCGCCAGCTCGAGCAGGAGCATTTTGCTTTTGCTCTGGCTTTGGATGAGGATTATTCCGCCTAACTCGATGACCCGGCCGGGCTAAACTCGATTACTGCTCACCGTCGCTGCTTCTGCTTGTTTGTTTGTTTGACCCGTCACTGGCACTTGCTGCTCTACTCTGCTCCACCATGGACTGCCTCGCTAGCTGACTGATGAGGTCACCGGCAGTAAACCTGCTTGACTGCTTTGTGAGACTGAAGAGAAGAACGGGTGAGACTCGCTCACTCGGACACATGCCCGCCCGGAATGCTGTAGCTGTGACTGGCAAGTGAAAGAAAGCTGTTCGTCTGCCTGTGCTTTGGTTAAAGGATTGGCACTGCCAGGAGTTGGTACTGCTCCTACTACCTAGGAGTAGTAATGCCAGCAGGTTACTGTCGACTGTAGTGACTAGTCCATGGATCAGGTGGCACTGGCAGCAGCGCCACCTGAAACCACACAGCCCGTTTCTGTGTGCGCGAGTAGCAGGAAATGCAAATGCAAGCAACAGCAGCAGACGGTAATGGCCCTGTAGCGTTATTGCGAGGAGGAGGAGCCGGCTGGGCGAACGCAGCCAATGGCTACTCCTAGCCGGCAAAATTAGCGAGTGATCGAGGAGTCATCGAGGCACAACACGAGAAAAGAAAGAAACAGCGGAGGAAAATCTGTCGGCCACCATCCCAATTTACAGATTAGATTAGCACCAAAATTTGTTTCCCCTAAGTACATACAAAAACCAGCCACTAAACCAGGACCGCCGGACAGTCCGGCCGGCAACGCACGCCGCCGTCGGGCGCCGCGGCGACCTGAAAAACTACCCTACCGGACGGATCGAGACCGCTGAGACCCTCAGCATTACTAGCCGGAGCAGGCGACGACGGCGCTGCAGGCGTCGCGGTCGCGGCGGCGGCGGCTGCCGAGGCGGCCGAGGAATGGCAGCGCGCGGCTCCTCCTGCCGCGCTGGGCCTTCGGGGACGCGGCGCCGGCGGGGTCGGAGGCCGCGGGGGCGGCGGGCGCTATCACCTCCTCGATGGTCTCCAGCTTGGGCGCCCAGCGGCGGGACTTGCCGTACCCGACCAGCTCCTCGTAGTCCTTGGCGAGGCGGTCGTCCCCGCGCAGCAGCACGGCGGGCTGCTGCTGCTCCTTCTGCGCGGCCGCGTCGGCCTCGCTGTCGTCGTCCTCAACGCCCTTGCCGTCGCCGTCCGCGAGGAGGAAGTCGTCGGAGAACTTGATCTGCAGCGTGCCGGACGCCGTGCGGTGGAGCTCGAACGGCCGCCCCGCGCCGGGCTTCTTCCCGGCACCGGCACCGGCACCGGCGGCCGCGGTGGCGGACGACGACAGCAGCAGCAGCAGCGACGAGGCCAGGGAGACGAAGGAGAGGACGGAGCGGAACAGGTGCGCGGGGAGCAGGAAGTAGGCCTCCCCGGGCTGCAGCTCCTCGCCGGGCGCCACGGCGGGGATCTTCTCCCCGATCAGCAGCGCGTCGGCGCGGCACACCAGGTGCCGCGGGTGCTCCTGCATCAGCTCCCGCGCCGTCACGGGCGGCGCGTAGGCGCGCACGCGCCCGTCGCAACCCACCAGCCGCACCACCGCCGGAGCCGGCGCCGCGGCCTGCGGCGGCAGGAGGTCCGTCTCCTCCGCCCGGGGTGGCGACGGGCACGGCGACGGCGACGACGGCGGGTGCGGGAAGCAGGACGCCGCGGGGCCGTGCAGGTGCAGCGCCGGGACCAGGGACTTCCACTGCCTCATCGCGGCGGTGGGAGCTGAGCGCTGGCGGAAGAGAGGCGGAGAGGGGGGAGAAAAGGAGGAGCTGGAGGTGGGGGCGGGTCAGTGGGGTGGTGGGTATAAGAGGGAGGGGAGAGTGGGGCCGCGCGGGGCCCACCGGCGTGGTGGCAGGTTTGACTCTTTGACCGCCGGTTTTTTTAAGCTTCCTCCGTTTGGTGGGGCCTCCGCCTCGTCCCCCGTTTGGATCTAGCAGCACCTCTCCCCCGTGGCCTGTGCTGTGCTGTGCTGTGACTTTTCTTTTCTTTTTTATATTTTTCCTTTGCCTCTTTCCAGGGTAGGGTAGAGAGAGAAACGGTCCGTGGTGGGCTGGCTGTTGTTGATTAAAATTCAAAGATGCGATGCGAGAGCGAGGCTGTCAGTGAGTCGGTCGTAGTCACTAGTTAGTCAGTCAGTCGGTGGCCACGTGTGGGGGTCGACCGCACCAGGCTACCGTGCCCGTGCGCGATGGATGGGCATCATACGGCTGGGACGGAATTGGAAACCAGGCCACGGCCACCAAATAGGAACAGGGGAAACCAATCGTGCTAAATTTCGGGACCTCCATGGAGGAGGTCACGAAGGAGTTCGCGGGTCCAAGCGCTGCATCTTTTTTTTGTGTGTGTGACGATGAGAAGGGTGCTAGACGGACTTCACACACGTCTCTCTTTGTGATTTTTTTTCACGTGAACCGCGGTTTTTCTGGTTTGCGCGCGTAGGAACCTCGTGCTTGCCTGCATTCCATCTGCGTAGATTTCTATCCGGTGGCGCGGACCAAAACGTACGTCATCATGTATTTCTTGATCGTAGTTCTAGTGGCCGGTTTTTACCCCTGTCCATCTAGCTTCCTATGGGCGCGCATCGGAACCTCGTGCTTGCCTGCATTCTATCTGCCTAGATTTCTGATGGTGGCGCGGATCGAAACGTACGTCAATATGTCTTTCTTGACTACGTTTCTAGTGGCCTATTTTTTACCTTGTCCAACCAGATTCCTGTGGGCGCACGTAGGAACCTCGTGCTTGCCTGCATTCTATCCGCCTAGATTTTTGGCCGGTGGCGCGGATCAAAATGTACGGCAACATGTGTTTCTTGACTGGGTTTCTTGTGGCCGTTTTTACCCTGTCCAACCAGCTTCCTGTGGGCGCGCGTATGAATTCTATGGGCGACGCACTGATACTTCCTGTTTTCCGTTCGAGCACATAGAAATCACATTATAGTAGGCTCCATCGGTATTGGCATGCATAGGAACTTTGTGCATGCCACGACGCCATAGGCTGGCTTTCTATTCGCGCACGTAGAAACTTACCTCTTCACATGTTTCTCAAGGTGTGCTAGAGGGGCTTCGCATACACCTCTCCTCACAAGTTTCTCTAAGGTGTGCTTGCCTAACACGCTTTTTCGCTGTAACATATAGAAATTCCATGCTTTTCAACGCCTTATATGGCTAGATTTATGGTGTTGAGCACCGAAACACACCTCTTCGTATGTTTCTCGTGTGACTTGGTCCAACTAACTTTTTGTTGGGGCGCATAGGAATTTGCCACACTAGCCTGTTGGCTTTCTCTTGGAGCACATGAAAATTCATCACAAGAGGACATGAAAACTCATCACAAGACACATGAAAACTCCAACTAACTAGCCTGTGTTTGGCACACATAGAAACTTTGTGGATGCTAGTATGATCCAATTGGGATCGTGCTAAATTTTTGGATCTTCATCGAGGATGTCACTTTGGTGTGTCGTGGCTTAACTGGTTCTTTTGTTAGCGCGCGTAGGAACCTTGCGCACTTGCTCGTGTTCTATCTGGAAGGATTTTCTGGCCGATGGCGCGGATCGAAACGTACGTCTTCATGCGTTTCTAGACTAGATTCATAGTGCCGGTTTTTTCTCGAGCATGCCCGTCCAACCAGCTTCCTGTGGGCGCATTCATGAACTCCGTGCACGACATGATGATACTGCTAGCTTTGTGTCCGAGCACATGGAAAACACATTACAGTGCACTCCAACCAGCTCTATGTTGGAATGCATAGGAATTCTATGCACGCTGCAATGACATTGACTAGCTTTCTGTTCACGTACATAGAAACTTACCTCTTTACATGTTCCTCAAGGTGTGCTAGAGGGGCTTCACCTACACGTACCTCTCCTCACAACTCTCTCAAGGTGTGCCGGCCTAACAGGCTTTTTCCATTGTAAAGTATAGGAATTCCACGTGTTTTCATGCCTTATATGGCTGGATTTCTGGTGTTTTGCATCAAAACATACCTCTTCATATGTTTCTCGTGTGTAGTGGTCCAACTAGCTTTCTGTTGGCGTACATAGGAATTATGTGTGCGCCACACTATACCCTTGCTGGCTTTTCTGTTCGAGCACATGAAAATCCATCACAGTATGCTCCAACTAGCTCTATGTTGTGGATGACGCTACGATCAAATTGGCATCGTGCTAAATTTTTTGATCTTCGTCGAGGATGTCACTTAGGTGTGTCGCAGCTTAGCTGGCTTTTTTGTTTGCGCATGTAGGAACCTTATGCTTGCTCATGTTCTATCTGGTACATTTCTACTGGCATGCATTGAAACATATGTCTTCATGCATTTCTTGACTAGATTTCTGGTGCCTGATTTTTTCTTGACCGTGCTTCCATCCATCTTCCTATCAGCGTGTGTATGAACTTCGTGCACAACGCGCTGATACAGTCGGCTTACGAGTACATGGAAATTACATCACAGTATGCTCCAACCAGCTCTATGTTGGCATGCATGGAAACTTTGTGCGTATCGCAACGACTACTAGAAATCTCCACTTCTATGACGAATAGATTTTGTCACTAAAGGAGCCAAATTCGTCATAATTTCAGTTTTATGATGAATTTATGACGAAAACTAGTTCGTCATAGAAGTCGCGTCACTCTTGCATATCTATGATGAATCTGACAAAATCGTCATAGAAGTGCCTTGACCTGTGACGAAAAACAGATCGTCATAGAACTGATTTGGCATATGTGGCAGGGGGCTGCCATGCTGGTGGGCGCTTCCGTTGGAGATGCTTTCCACGTGTATATGTTATAGCCCACGTGTACATGCTATAGTCAGTTGCATTGGAGATGGTTCGGGTACATGTCACCTTTTTATTGCACAACGTGGCCATCTCTAGTTCTTGCACGTTTTAGGTTTTTATTGGACCATGTGTCTTTTCCCTGTTGTTCCACATGTCAGTTTTCTACTAGCACACGTGTCGTGTTGCCGTTGGATCACGTGTCACTTCTTCATTGGATCACGTGTCGTATTTTTATTGGTCCATGTGTCCGTTTCTTGTTTGACCACGCGTCACTATGCTGTCTGTCCACGTGTCGTATTTTTATATGTCCACATGGCTTGATGATTTCCTTCCACGTGTTGGATTTTTAATAGCCCATGTGTCGTTACCTAGCCAATTCACGTGTCATACACTGGTTCGTCCACGTGTCGCATTTTTATTTGATCACCTGGCCTGTCCTGGTTCTACCACGTGGAGTACAATCAATTCGTCATAGAAGTAATTCGAGATCGTCACTACTGCACATATTGACTACATAACTATTTAGCCTGGCAATCAAATAACAACAATTTACATTTCACACGTCAGCAACGAACCACTAATAGAGTATCACCACATTAAACTGGCATACGAGTCCACAAATCAAACTGGCATATGAGTACATACATCAAACCACAAATATTCACTGCATCAAGCCACAAGAGTGGAAGACTAAGAGTTATCAGAAGAGCTGAAGCGCGTGCATAGCTCACGGAGATTGTTGTACTCCTCCTGTTGTCGTTTCTTGTATTCCTCAAGCTCTCTTTTAGTCTTTTCTGTCTTTCTCTTCAGTTCATCCACTTGATCGATGAGGGCAGCGGAACTTTCCTATTCAGCAGCAAGCTGTTCCCGAAGCATTCTCTCCTCCGATATTTCTGTTCTGGTGGAGCTTGTCTGGATACCAGCATTCTTCAAAAAAATGTTGTTGATGCTTCCCTGGAGGGGGTCTTGCCCTGGTGGACGCAGAGGACCTTGTAAATAACATCAGCACTAGTAATTAGTTGCTGCCCATCAGCAACAGGTTCTGCTTGCATAGTTTCCATAGCTTTCTGCGAAATTCAATCAGTAAAACAATAGGTTACAGATAGTGTAAGAGGACTTCAATTGAAAACCCATGAGATTGATTCATAACAAGTAATGCATAGGTCTTCCTCAACCTACTACTGATAGAGATTACATAAGCTTCAGTAGATTTCCATAACACTAGGCTCCTGCTACGTTTCCTTCTTTTATGGCAATGGCTTCAGTAGATTTCAAGGGAAGCAAAAGAAAGTACTTACAACTGCTGCTCTTACAGCATCGCTCAATCTATTTTTTCTACCGGTATGGAAGTCCTTGAAGACTTTCACAACATTAACATCTTCATTAGGTGGATCATTTTCTTCTTCAAGTCATTGATGTTGTTCTGCTGCATTCCTCTTGTTCTCCTTCTGTTCACATTGCACATGAGTTTCGGTTTGTATTTATACAAAGGTAAGAGGAACAATAAAACACAACCTTCACTTACAAATTTTTGCATCTGGACAACATAGGAGCGAGATCCTATAGCCTAGTGGCACTTCACTCTTGCATGGTTTCGCTTGTTCTTCTTAGATATTTCCTATAGCTTCATTTGTGTTAGACTGCAGCACAAGTAGACCATAGCAAGACTAGATAGGAAATCGATGAGTTCGGACACCTTGTTCTTAGCACTAGACCAAATCTTGACAAGTTCACACCACTATGCATCATTCATGGACGAGATAGGAGAGGTCATACGGATCTAATTAGCAGGGACGCCATTAAAGTATGTTCTCTTCAACCTGTAGCGTTCCTACCGTACCACAGACTGCATTACATTTTGACAAGCTTTTTTGTTGGTGAGTGAGCGCCGTTAACGCGCCTTCCCTGCACACAGTAGTGTGAATGAAAAG